AAGGGAGGATTATATCAACTCGAGCAGCCAACAATCAACAATAATGGCTACAAGTGTAACAAGGATAACAACTCAATTACATTGCTCCTAAGCTTTAAGGAAACATGTCGTAAGTAAGGAATAGCCTTAACATACCTTTCCAATGAACGCTCGAAAGACCGTAGTTCCTTCACGAAAGTTGTTCCTTATGTCCTAAGCTTCATAAACACTATATATACACAGCTGGTACACCCCTATAAATAGTTCATAATTAATCTTAAATCGGCAGATTTGCTATATTGCCCCAACTTGTCGAAACGTCCGTAGAAATTCATAAAATGAATCATAAAAGAGTCCTGAGATGATTACCTTAGTTAACCAAGTTTAAACCTTAAAGAAACACCAATAACTACAAATTTATATCTACACAGCTAAAAGAAGGGAAAAACGATTACCACGTGTAGGGATTACGTTTCTAGGCACGGGGGCAATGTGTAATGGTATAAATCGTCAAAAACTAACCTTCATGATGCTAGAACTCCATATGAACCCTCTCTTAAGCTTTCTCTCTAATTTGGAACTGAAATGAAATGTTTTCATGGCTTAAAACGTTAAATAAGTCGACATACAATATTTTTGACCCGACCCGGATCCGACTCGGATTTTGCCCCGGCAGTCCCTAGTAAAACCCTCATAACTTTTTACTCTTATGTCGGTTTGATACAGGAGCCTTCAATTTAATGGGTAATAGGCCTTCTAACTTTTTATATATTGGGAGAAAACATGCAATACATTTGACCCAAATTTCAGAGAAATCTTTAAAAAGGAACTTACAATAACTTTCGCCAACTTTTATTTTGCCACTTACTTAATTTCAAAACTTGAGATACAACCCTAGAACACTTAAAATATGACATACCACATCATTCTTAATTTATTACCCATCCTCCTTGTCTTTCCACGAAGATACGAGTTAATTTAGACGTTTTAAAAAGTTGGGGTGTTACATCCTTCCCCCCTTAGAAACATTCGTCCTTGAATGAAAAAATCTGAGTCATGCGGTTAACGTCCTTAGGAGTTTCAAAATTTAGGCAGAATATCCTTTGTAAATATGACTATCCAGGAACAATGAAACGCAGAAAATTCTAACCTAGGCTTCTCACAGGATGACATAAATAGCTAAGCACTATAGCTCCACATTAACAATGCGAGCAAATATACAACGACAACAACAACAATAATAATAAGCAACAATATAAAAAAAATCATATTGGTATCTAACCTCACTGCACTAATATAAACTGATATGCCATCACTTTTGGGGTATGAAACAAGTAAGGATATTTGGACATCATGCCATCCTCAGCCTCCCAGGTCACCTCTTCTCTATTCTTGTTTCTCCATAATACTTTAACCGAAGCCACCTCTTTGGTCCTCAATTTACGGACCAATCGATCTAATATGGCAATTAGAGTTTTCTCGTAGGACAACTCCTTTGTGATATGAACATCCTCAACCGGGACAACCCGAGTAGGGTCTTCTACGCACTTTCGTAGCATCTATACATGGAAAATTGGATGAACAGATTCTAGCCCCGAAGGCAATTCTAACTCATAAGCCACCCGTCCTACCCTCCGAAGGATCCGGTATGGCCCAATGAATCTTGGAATAAGCTTTCCCTTTTGCCAAATCTCATAACACCTTTCATAGGCGAGACTTTTAAGAATACCCAGTCATCGACACAAAAATCTAAGTCCCTTCGTCGCACATCTGAGTATGACTTCTGTTGGCTTTGAGTTGTTAGCAACCTCTCTCGAATGAGCTTAACCTGCTCCACTGTCTGTTATACTAAGTTGGGTCCAATCAACCCTAACTCACCTACCTCAAACCTCCCGATGGGGTACCTATATTTTCGCCCATACAAAGCCTCATAAGGTGCCATCCCGATGCTGGAATGATAACTATTATTGTATGTGAACTCAATAAGAGGTAAGTGGTCATCCCAACTTCCCTTGAAGTCTAGCGCACACGCCCGTGGCATATCCTCTAGTGTCAAAATTGTGTGCTCAGTCTGGCCATCTGTCTGAGGGTGAATGGCTGTACTAAGATTAACCTGTGTCCCTAGTCCTTTCTGGAAGGACTTCCAGAAGTTGGCGGTAAATTGTGCTCCTCTATCAGAGATAATAGATAATGGGACACCGTGTAGCCTAACAATCTCTCTAATATAGAGCCTTGCATAGTCTTCAGCCGTAAAAGTAGCCCTGACTGGTAAGAAATGGGCTGATTTTGTTAATCTATCAACAATTACCCAAATAGAGTCAAACTTGCGACGCGATCGAGGTAACCCTGTAATAAAATCCATATTAATTGCTTCCCACTTCCACAAAGGAATAACTATCTCCTGAACTAGCCCATCGGGCTTTTGGTGCTCAAC